GCATTCCTGTAATAAAAGCTCCCAATTAAAAAAAACTGTCATGGGTCCATTTTATTTAGATCTACAACTGGATAATTTTCGCTGAAAAAAACCTACATCCAAGAAGCAACAAATGCAACCAAAACCACAAACAAGACTGTAAAATGATAGAAATATAGCAAAGACCTACAGGTAAACAAGTGTATTGAGTTCAGAGGAAAAGGGCTCTAATCCCTAGATCCTAAAGGGCTCTAATCCACTAATCCCGTTACATTAGACACAAGTAAATGGGAAAACTTCTAAGAATTGTCTGTTGCAGAAATTAAATCTGAAAAGAAAAAACTCTTCTTAGGTATTTCTGGGCATTGAAAGGCAATTTGAAATTACCAGAATGTCCACTAATAGTTTCTGCAAGAACTCCTTAAAAAATGGACAAATGAGTTTACAAAACCCCTAACCTAGCAGTGCTGTTTCTCAACACTGCACACTCACTTTTGGCCTACCAGGAGCTTGCTTACACAGGAAATATTCCTCTCCCTATCCCAAAACGAAAATGCATGCAGAGACGGATTCATTCAAAACAGCCATTCCTTTTTAAATTCCCACAATAAGCTCACTCCAGGACAATTTAACATACAGGTAAGCCCTTAATACCATGGCTCATTTTTCTAGGTGGTTTATTTAGCACAAATGGTAATAACTGTTAAAAAGGTTAGAAGTCATTGTTTTGGCTGAGATCACACAAAATCCCACCCAGAAAATAATTTGTCTGGGGAAGTTAAAGTCAGCTGAAAAGCAAAGGGGGATTAGAAGAAAAGTTAAATTCAACCTGAACTATAGCAGGTGTTACTGGCACCTGCTATAGTGTTACAATCAGTGCAGTGGTATAAATAGACCATACTTTAGTGGCTAGACACTTGGGGGGGCACACAAGACAGGAAGGAAAGGTGCACTGCTGGTCAACTGTCTATCACTTAATTAATATAGGCTCCATGAAACAACCTGGTCATTACTTGCCAAATGTAGTAGCTACTTGCAGTAGTTGAATCATCCAAGGCATACATGTACTCAATCATTGAAATCTTATCCTCTGAAACAGCAATTTAAATACATGGTGAAAAATCCCAGGACGTGCTTAAGATGAGGTCATTGTTATATACAAGATTTAAGTTTCAGACCAGGTATTTTAGCAGACTATTTTAATACATTAATATTTTAATTCACATTCAGGTTTTTTTCTCATCTAATAATAGCTGAGCTTGGCTTCCCTAATGCTTTGCAATACCAATACACCCAAGATGTTACAGGTTTTAAGCCTCCTCAATTTTTTGTGGGAAACCAACATAACAGGAAGACTTGATTTCAGAGTTATTTTGAACTAATATTCCTGGATACATTTATTTTATAAATCCATTTTAAAGAAAAAAAATCATTCTATGACCAGATTCCAAATGTTAATAATCTCAAAAAATGCATCCTCAAATTATTTCATATTTAAGGGTTTTTTTCCATAGAATTTTGTGTTCTTTGATAATAAGTACTAATATGAATCTGTATCATTGTAATTTTCAATACACAATGTATCCTTTTGAAGTCTGAAAAATAATTTCTAGTGGTTGATTTTTGTTTAAGTAGAATAATTAACTTTTCTGAATGCCTCAAACAAGACAGCTTCAAATCAAAATTACAGTATTATCAGGAGAATTGCTGGCATAGTCCTCACAGTTTACAGGAATTCTAACCACACTGTAAAATGTAGGTAGTATATTTATATTGGGAAAAAAGAATTAATATTTAGCTGCATCCAAGTTATACTTACATCTACAAATTATAGCATATTTAGCCAAGATTAGTACTTTTCTGGATTTTGGCATATTTAATAGTTTTTAATACTAATATTAGCAACATTGAAGCAGTGTAATATTTTAAATAGGTTTGAGGTTCGTTTTTTTTTAAATTAGCTATGGGTTCTCATTTCAGATCTTCAGGATATTTATAAAACTTCGTAGAAAAAAAAAAAAACAAAACTAGAAGCTAAGTATTGTTAGTTTATGTTTAACCAAATTTAAAACTGAGAGCTGAGAAGGATTTACTGCTTCAAGTAACTGATAACCTTCTTTCCCTGATGCTGCATACAGTAACATCACCATAAATGTAATCACTGAAATTTCTGGTTGTTAACACTTTTTTTCAAATTCTTCCAGATGATGTTGTCAGCTAAAAATCTGCTTTTAAACATAACAGATTGTTAACCATACGACTAACAAACCCAACCATTTACTGTAAGTATCGTTAAAAGATTTGCAGGTAGAATGAACATTTCAAAGTTAAAATTCACATGACTAATAAAAGCCAAATATAGAAGAAAAGTAATTCCAAATTCAGTAACTACTCACGTAGATGCCCAGCCCATTAAAGGATTTTCCCAGCGCTCCCTGTTATCAAATTCCATCTTCCATTTCTTTGTATTGTTAACTCCTGCCTGCATTGCATTACGTGCTGGAACAAAAATGTGAACTTTTCTGGTTTTGATGTGCTCATCTGGAACACCAGTTAAAGCAGTGATATCCTATGAAAAACAGAATGGAACTTGTTAAAAGAGGGTTCACGTTAAAGGCTTGTAAAATAATACTGCTTATGCTTTTTACGTAAAAAATAATAAATACGAAATTAAGTTACAAAAAAGAAGAAAAAAATTACAGAAAAGTATATTATGAGTCTAGTTGTATAAAAGCGAAGCTGGTACAGATTTGGCATGCTCACCTGAACCTGCTCATCTCCCACCTACACAACTGCTAGTGCACGGGAGGGAGGGACAGAACCTTTACTCCCATCCTCTGACCACAGCTGCAAAGTCACGACTGCTCCAACTAGCACCAGCTAAAACAAATGC